AAATAATCTTCCGGCGGTTCAGCAGACGGTTTATTAAATTATAGTTTGTACAGTGTGAAGTGTTGATCTGTCGATCATCCAGGGGCCACACACCGTCTTACGATAACATTGTAAAACAACCGTGACTGGACGGTGCTGCCACTAATGGGAATTAGTCGAGATAATGCCCACAGTATAGATGAACGCGTAATATTATCATTATTGTTATTAATTATAATTATGTTTATATTGTTATTAAAATTGGGTTTATGTAATGTGCATACCGATGTTTATTAACGTCATTACGATTTAACCAACTATAGCGTTTATTAGCGCCTAGCAACCAAGGTTCGCAGGGAAGAAACCCAATACAAAGTAGCACAATGTAGATAAAACATTGGTACCCATGTCTACACATTGTTAATAAAATATAATATTATTGTTTGACAGCTAGGGAAGCAACTATAGTAAATAACGGTGCACGCGTGCATACCCGCAACAGTCGCCACGTGTCATTGACCTACCTAGGAGGGTTAATTATAGGAGGGTTTTATATTATATATTAATTTTTGTAATTAATTTTATGCATTTTTATCCAAAATGGGATGTACTCCACCAACTGGAAACCAGGGATCTAATTGTTATTAAAATAAGACATGACAGAGCGCTCGATATCAGAATTTATCATGTTGCTCCTGTATATTCCATTGTGCTATCTTACTTATATCAAATGATCTTTTTTGTAATAGAATGCGATGTTTATCATAGTTACGTTTATTTCCTGTTACCAATGTTATTAAAAATTCGCCACCAACATTTACCGTAAATTTGACGTACGAATTTTTAATTTCACTTTTACCTCGTTAATTATTATTGTCATATCTCTACCACATTACATCGTTAACCTAATCACTATTATTATTCAGTTAATCACGTATTTATATCATCGTTTTATCCCAATTACTTTAAGCGCTTTATGCGACCGATTTTCGATTTCCAGCCCTGCTAACATGATCAATCTGTGATTATCGAAAAATTTAATTATATTTGTAGTATTCTGTTTTCGCACGTTATATAAATTAAAAAAACAGATAATTAAATAAGTACATCCAGCATTCGTGTTGAATATTGGCTCATTAGGCAACGCGCGGTCATCGTAATAGTTGCGCTTGTTGTACCAATATTATCACGTTGGATAAATATTATACTAAGGTTTAATATTCTACTATCACGTTAGGTTATTTACTTCAGTGTGTTATATACCAATTTTGCCCTATTTATATCCTGGTATAATAACAATAATTGTTATCCGAATTAAACCAAATTTCTTACTAATTGAACTGCGACGTTGTGTTATTTATTACTGCATTCTTATTCCGCCATTTTATCCGAATTTTATTATTTAAGTTTTTACCATTTCTTCCTTTGACTTTGATATCGAATGAATAATATTCCTATCCTGTGATGCCATCGTATGTTTAATTTGCTACCAATGTCAGCATTCCTATATTCTGTACGTTATTTACGTATTTGATCCTAATTGTACCAACATTTTATTGTACTAGAATCATTTTATTCGCTTTTTTCTACTGGTTACTACGTATTACCGTTATTGTACCCGTCTTTTTTATTTGTGTCAGAATGATATATGATAAAGATTTATGCATTAATATCATTTAACAACATTAAAGTAATTGTACGCGAGCTTCGATCCTACTGGTACGATACAATACTATAGGACGGCATCTTAATTAACCATTCAACGTTTTACGAATTATTTCGGAGTCTATCCAGTTACATTTGACAATATCGCATCTGCGTTCGTTTCGCTAATAAAATTCCGAATTCGCAAGCGTTTGCTTCAGCCCAATTGTACGAGAATATACTGTTAATTTATTTTCACAATTATATCTTGTAGCAATTCAGATATGATCATATTTTTATTGACATTTCATATAGTTTCACGCCCATGTTGTTATTTATTTCCGAATGTTATAACTGCTTTCTGATATCATGTAATTAACCAGTATCTGAATTGCAAAAGCAATTAATATTTGTTGTTAATTATTTCCGCACATATATATATCTTGTTACATGTATTTTATATTGTAATAATATTTTGTCATATTTGTACTACTGTATTATACACGTTAACGATTTTCGCACATGATAATAACTAGAATTTAGTATTGCTGTACTAGAATCTTAGGCTAATTAAATTTCATTAATATTGTATCTTATCTGTACGAGAACGATATGCCGCCGACGTCCTGAAGATCCTGCTACAATATAGCATCGCAAGTGTACCAATATGCGTTACCAGCTTCACGAAGATATATGTTATATGTATTAACTTGTCCCGTTTTGCCGATCATTTGCGCAATTCTGTTCGGTTACCTTTTACCATCTGCATTACCATTTCTTGATTATTTCTGTTGTTTCTTCTTTATTAGTTCTGATATATTCTGATGTTGTTATCCCACTCGGCTCCCTATCTCGTTCTAAATCTATATGATCGAACACAGTAGGCTTATATGCTCGCTGCTAAATTGCCCATCTTAATTAGCGCTTGGCTTCTTGTGTGGAGACCACTGAAAAGGACCTACTATTGCTGAGCGCACGAATATACTAGTGCATTAAGCGGAAATGATTAGGTTTATGGTTATATGGCTGTGCGATTTCGGGGTTATGGTGTTAGTCACGTGTTAGTGTTAGTGTTAGTGTTAGTGTTAGTGTTAAGTTAGAGTTAGTGTTAGTGTTAGTGTGTAATGTACACATAAATTGTGTCGCCAGCATGCAGTAGGTCCTGTTCAGCTGCCATCTACTTACTTTTACTTCTAAACCGTCCCAATATCAGCAGACTATCCCGTACACAATATTGCACTGGCTTACAAACAAACACATTTTCCACAGTGTGCATGTATTCCTCAAACGCGCGCTACAATAAATCCGTGCATCGATTTATATGTACATGGTGGCCGTTGATAAGCCCCAAAATCAACATCAGTCCCCAGCGACAAAACTCACCTGCGATTTCTTCCACGCGCGGCGGGATCCTTCATTCTTCTTCGTCTTCGTCTTCGTCTTCGTCTTCGTCTTCGTCTTCGTCTTCGTCTTCGTCTTCGTCTTCGTCTTCGTCTTCGTCTTCTGAAAAGTGAAATAAGTAGATGGTGGCAGATGAAATTGCAAGCTAAACACGGTATATGTACGTCGTCGCTACGGTTAGAGATGGTTACTATGGTTACATATCCAAACATTAACCTCAACCAGGTCTTCGTAGAACAGGAATAAGACATGGCCGCTGTCTCTCTGCTCCCAGTATTCCAGATTGTGCTCAAAATAGTTGCCAAATATCACTGAAAGAAAAAATGTTTTTTTAAATTCTAAGCAGTTGACATGGAATAAATTACACTGCTATACATTGCCTTACTCTAAATGACCATACAGCCGGTTACCCTCCCCCTGTTGTACTATATACTACATGAATTACCGCCATCAGAATAAACACATCATTAAATCAGATGCATCTATTTGCTTTTCTTGGCGACACTGTGAGGGTAGGGTGAAACACTAGTACATTCAAGGACGTGATAGCAGCAGCGTAGATTTAAATACATGCGCACCTTGGTCGTACGCCATCTGGTTAAAGTAACTGCGCATGGAGTCAGTCGAAACAAGAGGATCTGTCGAACTCTTGGCAGTTTCATTGGCACCCTTCCCCGCTGACATCGGCACTAGATACCGATCCTTCCACATGAAATAGCCGGAGACCACCACGTCCTTGAAGTTTCGACTCACGTAGATTATCTGCCGAATGGAATGATTATTCGGTTAGAAGTCACATGCGTTGAGATTTGTACGAATATAAGCCTTTGTTTGTGTAACACTTACGCATTCAGTTTCTACATATCAAAGGCGCAGGTGTTGTCGAAAGTCGCTCTTCGATTCGTTGGAACCCGGCTTAGGACACTGTACTTACTGCACACATATAGCACGTGGATCGACTATTTCGGCTAACGCTCCATTAGGAGTGTTCCCAACTTTGATATCATTAATGATTAATGATTGATAATCCTAACCCTAACCCTAACCCTAACCTAAATGACATTAAACCACAAACTAATATATGACCATGACCATATATATATATCTTATTATGACCATTAATGACATTAAAGTTGGGAACAATCATAATGGAGTATCACCCACTATTTCGGATAAAACTGAATGACGAATGGTCGAAGGTGTCTCTTCGCTTTCTATTCTCCATCGGAAAGAACCCGCAATCAATCAATTTATGGTCCTTCCTATTCTTCTTCTCACCTGTCCAACCCCGACCCCGACCCACAGCGGCGTTGCGGGAGACACCCCCCATGGCTACCTTGCACTTCTTCTCTTTAGCCTCCCGTGGGAGCGTTCTCCACGGATAGTGCGTTTTGAATATTCGCGGAGACTCCATCTCGTCCCGTGGCACGTACTTGTTACCGGGGTAACTGCAATGCAAGCTGATGCTGAGGATAGAGTCGGCATGTAGATGCACCACTTGGCATTAGACGCATGCACTCACCTGCCCACGCAAAAAAAACCACATGCACAGGCGCTATACACTATACACTACGCACTCACGCACGCACTCACGCACGCGCTCGCTCGCTCGCTCACTCACTCACTCACGCACACACTCTCACGCACTCACTCTCTCTCTCACTCACGCGCGCGCGCACGCACCCAGGGATAATGCATAGGTAGGTACCTGATAGGTAGGTACCTGTATCCGATCTCTGGCATGCGCTCATCAAAGTTTTTCCCGTCTCTCGACTTGGGGTCTGCATCGTGTAAAACCAGCCACGTTATCTCCTGCGTGAATGTAGTTCCTGCGTGCAAGCGAATATTACAGGGCAATGACCAAACCGTGAGCAGGAAACGACTTTGATATGCGATCCTCTTGTCGTTATTAGAGGTTAGAGCTATAGGGACACACGTCGAAAAAGAGCAAGGTATATACCCTGGCTGATAGTAAAATGGTCCCTGGTCAGAAAAGAATTTACCACCCACTAACATGAGGTGTCAACTATACAGAAGTCTAAATAACTATACCTAAAACTAAATAACGATTTGCCGAAAAATTGTACAGATACCTATGGGGCGAGTACACTAGCTTAGGCGTACCGCTCTTTGGAAGCGTAGCAACTATGACATCATCGTCACGGCATTTCATGTTCTCCATCTTTATTGGATCGTCTGCGTACTTGTTGTTGATGAAATTAATGCCCTTGTATTTAAAAATATTCTCGAAGAGTTTGGTTCCAGCAGTTCCAGTTGTTCCAGAGCTGTTACCTGCCTCCATCGCCATGGCAACAGCTTTAATTAAGAGAAGGAGCTAATGAGAGCTGTGCAAACGGCGACTGCCGTATCCACAGGCACTTGGAGCGTTTCAATAAAATATGATGCTAAATAAATACGAAATCTATTTACTACAAGTCTTAATGTTTCTCTACTCTCTTTCACCTATTATTGCCGACAATTTCCTGTAAATGCCGTCCAAATGCTCATCTGCAACACACAAGTACACCGCACGCTAGCTGCTGCACACTGACACATAAATATATAGTGTGTAATATACATATATATACTATATATAGTGTGTAATATAAATATATATACTATATATAGTGTGTATATATACTATATATTTATGTGTCAGTATGCAGCAGCTAGCGTGCGGTGTACTTGTGTTGCAGATGAGCATTTGACCGGCATTTACAGGTGATTATAGGCGAAATAGAGTAGAGAAACATTAAGACTTTGGTAGTAAATACATTTCGTGTTTATTTACCAATATTGTTTTTGATTGAGACGTTCCAAGTGCCTGTGGCCGAATCTAACCTCACTAGTGCACTAATTACCCTCCCTTCCCTGTTATCCCCTTCTATACTAGTCTAGCGCTTACCTGTATACCAAGCGACATCAGCAAACTGGACAACAATAAATTAATAGTAATTATAATTATGATGAATTAATTACAGGGCTGGCGGAGCCGGTCCGGCCAGTCCGGCCGGCCATGGCCGGACCAATAATTTTTCCAATCATAATTTTTTTCAAGCACACATTTTCGTTATGCACAGGCCGGATTAGCTCTAGTACTATAGCCCGCGTTCGATAAACTGCCGCAGGACCACGCCACTTCGTTTCAAAATGAAATGCCAGTAGTGCTTACTTTGTGGAATCAAAGGACAAATACATGGTGTAAAGTTGTTGAAAGTGTTCAAAAAGATAGGCGAGATGTCCATGTAGATAAATAAGTGTTAAAAAGCCCGATAACTTTGCGTTTTGCGATCCATTTTTCATGGGGACAGGTGGTAACAGGTCGTAGTTGGTATTTACAGCCGACAATGTACTATAGCCCTGCGGCAGTTTATCGAACGCGGGCTATAGTACTAGAGCTAAGGCCGGATCTACAATTATTGCAATCCCGAGCATATAATGATCTAAAATCACATATAGTTTATGTATACATGCATATATACTACTACATAACTATAGTACCGGTAATAAACTGAAGAATGTTTATAAGAAGACATGTGTTGATCTCTTTAATTGCTGATACTGTACCAGAAACGATCGTCTGCTGCTCGGCCATTGTGAGCGCCATTGTTTATGTCCGTTCAATATAATTATTATTATTAATATTATTTACATTTTCATTACTATAGTATAATTATGCTTCATTTGACGCGTTGCAGAACGTCTCCATATCCGTGTCCATCCCTAACGACTACCCCTATCCTACTCCTACCCCTACTACTACTTTCCCTACCTACCTCTTCCTCGACCCCAACCCCTATATCATTGTTATTAATA